TAAAAGAAGTACAAAAACTGGAGAAAAGGCCTCAGGAACCCAAGACCTCGGGGACACACCAGACCAAACCCTTAGTGAAAGAAGGAGACAAAAAAGAGAAAAAGGAACACAACAGAGAGAATCCAGGCCCCAGCACTACTCACGAGAGGAAACTATCCCTGCTGACCGATAAGGCCCAGAAGAAGAAAAAGTAAATTTCTGTGTATGTATTTTGATTCTGAATAAAATCTGTTATTGTCTGTATTGTGTGTTAGTGTTATTGTTTTCGGTAAAATCCAGTTTGAACTGGCTAGGCTTTGACTGTGAATAAAATCGTGACGTCATAATCACATTCTTGAGTCGCTGCCAAATCGTAGTAGCAGCGTTGAATCGTAGTAGCAGCGTATAGTTAAAAAACTATATATACAGGGTAAACACAGTATTGGACATAGGGCTATGTAATGAGTTGAACCCCCTAGCCCCTTAGGGGCCCTGTACTGAGTTGACCCCCTATCCCCCCAGACCCCCAATCTGCACTCTCTTGACCCACCTATCCCCCCCAGGGCCAAAAGTGCACTCAGTTGACCTCCCTATCCCCCCCCGGGCCAAAAGTGCACTCAGTTGACCTCGCCATCTAGGCTGCTTATACTACTATAGTGATTTTATGTTTGTATATTTTACATGAGCGTGTTTAAAAATGTACCATTTTGTACCAAATGTCTGATCTGGCCAATTTTCAAGTTATTTTTTAGCGAATCAAAGCTCAATTTCGGGAAAATATTTTCCTTTCTTGTTGCAAAGGAACCCGATAAATACAAGAAATGTTAAAATTTCATGTCGATGAAATTTTCTTTTTTCAATTATGCCCAGATTCCTGCCGAATGCCAATCAAAAGCGCCCTCGTTCTTTGAAAATAAAATCTTTACAGTTAAATGTTGCATATATCATGAAAAAGAAATACATCTACATTTTATCCTTAACTGTAGATGTTCTCAATCCAATTTTTTGTTACCTTAAATCCATTAATTGGAGGTTTCTGTAGTGGATTTCCTCCCACCTCCAGTTTGATGATTCTAGGGGAGTACAGCGTGTAAACACCAGAAAAGGAGGTCACGGGTCCATAAACTCTTTCTATGTCTAGTAGAACTTTGACTGTGTTCCCTCCTCCGGTATCGGATCCATCGGCGGATCCAAAACCTTCCCACTTTACAATGTTTGAAGCACCACACTTTGAGCCATCAACAAAATTTATAGGTTTAGATGGGTATTCTCTAGTGCTCTGAAAAGAATAAAACACATTTTAGGTGTAAACTCGATATTAATAAAGAAAAACCTTACGTATAAAAGTAATAATGGTTGAATAGCTGAATGTACTATAGTTCCCTTTTTCCATACAACTTTTCCCTACGTGCTAAGTTGCTAGTGATATACTTAGTAATTAAGCATTAAATTGATTTTTTTAAAAAGCGGGAAATTTAAAAATCTTACTCCATAAATAACGGAATGTATGTGAACACTTGTGTCAATCCACCAGTAGGTTGCTTCGTATGACGATAACACAAGAACAATAGGCTTTGTGACTTCCCCTCTTTGACGTATCACAATATCGTACCCAGAGAAAGGATCTCCATAAATTCCAATCACGTGTACTTCATAGTCAGGGTTATCATTGGCAACACATCCCCGTAACGTGTATCCATATTTCAACGATTGAACTTGAGCCAGAGCAAATGGTGGACTCTGTCGAATGATGCAGTTTCCAACTTCAGCTTTGGACCAAAAATATAATTATCTTGCGTAATTCTTGCTTCAAAGCAATTTGGAATTTACCAAGTGGAGGTAAATGCATAAAATTATGGTTTACATGAATCTTGAAAGTTGTATCAGTTTCATTTTTGGGTTTTCAAAGTGCAGTTTATAAACGTTTGAGTATGAGTATGAGACAAGAGTTTTTTTTAAAATAAAATGAATCGTACGGAATTATTATCATTATACCTGTATTTTCAGTAAATGTGTTTTATTTCTTCAATAACAGACTGTGTAATTGTAATGTCTGAATGATACAAATAAAACATATTCAAACATTCAATTAAAATCTTTAATAATTCATGGAACAAAGTAGGATAAAGACACAACAAGCAAAGACACTTGTTTCCGTAATAAAGTTTTAACCCTCGGTATAAACACAAATATGTTATATTTTTACATTATGGGTTAAAAAATTATTTAAAGAATTTAAATTTGTAACCTTGAATGAATTCTTTAAACCTGTATTGATTTTAAGTGAAAGCAATTTGTCATGATATCCACAAGTGTTTGATACACCACCCTATGTAATGTTAGGGTTATATATGACATTTAACCACCCTTGTCCTTTATCAATGTAACAGATATATACTTACGATAGCAGTTATATTTGTTATAGTATCTGCTGTAGTCATACGGATACGAGTAACGCCCCACTTTACAAATACAAACGTTACTTATACAATCGGCCATACCATCGAACTCATGACAATATCTTCCAGTGCAACGTACACGGAGGTCTGAAAATTAAATTAATTTGCAAAAATAATGCCTTTGGTGACCAAAGTTGCTTAGATAATGCGTGTAATGATGCATATTTAAGGAATCACTATCTAATTAGTAGAGTATGCCAGGGCATCAAGGATATTTGAAAACGTGGGATAATTTGCATGTGGTATATTATGCATAAATTATCCCACGTTTCCAACTATCGTTGATGTTCCTGGCATGCTGTACTAACTAGAAATGGATTCTTTATATTTTCCATTTTATAGCGAGATAAAAAAGACAGTCGCACAAGATTTTTTGCATATTAGGCCTCCTTAGCGTCCGGCACAAAGACAGACACACAAGATTTACAAGCACATTAGGCCTCCTTAGCTCCTAAACTTACTTTCAAAGAGTTATCACAGCGAAAAAAAAGAAATGGAAATAAAACTACTCTTGATGCCAAATCTGTTCTACATTTTTATAATCATTTACAACGTTAACGTTTTAGAGCTAGTTCATTCTCAATAAATCTTAAGAAACTTGCATTTTTGATGCATCTATCTACTGATGCAATCTTTTTTGATGTGAGACCGCCTTACTTCGAGGTGAGCTTCCTAATCTTTGACAACCTCTGTTTTTAATGAGAAAGTAACTCGGGCAATATTCTTTTTGCACAGTGGGGTAAATCAAGCATAACTTCCAGAAAACGAAAAATATTTTCGGTTTGTGTATATTTGCACTATAAAAATGGACCTGAACAAAATTTAATCTAGTTTCTCGTCCAAAAAATTAAGTCAAATCCAGCATCCAAAGCAAGTCTGGTAGTGTAAATCCCGAGATGTTTCAACCGAGCAAGTTTGGTCTATATAGGCTTCTGTAGCTAGCCTAATAGTGCATGAAGGCCTACTTGGGAATTGATTAGGTCCTAAAAACCCAAACACGAAGTCAACTTGATCATCAGTTGAGATATATAATATACAAACATTAAGTATATGGTAAACATTTTTAAAGTACATTTTGATATTACCAGGACAATACTGTAGATTACAAAACTGCTCCTCTTGTGTGGTACTCCCGTCAGAAATTTTTGTTCGAATCTGCGTTCCTACATCACAAGACTTTGAACAACTTGACCATGATGTCCACTGTCCTCTGATTTCAACTAAATAATTGAACAAGAATGTCATAAACAGATACTTCATTTACAAACATCATCACTTTCAGAATCCTTAAATTTAAAAAAAAAATTCAATCTCTACAACACCATTTAAAGAAAAGAGACGCGCCTACCAAAAAAATCATATTGATTTCACCAGACTTTATATGGAGCGTAGCATAGTCAGTGGTGGATTGTTGGCTGGTAAAATTCGCCTTTCCATTACAAAACAAAACCCGAAAACATCGGAGTACATATCTAGTTTTGAGGAAATTGATTATCTGTATATAATTCTACAGTGCTCTTAGTGTAAACGGGGCTTATGGGTCACCTGAGTATCATATAACAACTTTCAAACAATTGAATTTATTGTAATCTAAACCAAATGCCATGAAATTCAGAATTTGAAAGATGCGAAAACTGTCTCCATGGCTTCTGTTATTGCTGTAGTTGTCTCAACGGTATATTGGAGTCAACGGATCATGGCCAGCTTTGTATCGGTATATCAATCCAAGAGCACCTGCAGTATCACCACTGGAAATATTCTCTTGATCTAAGTCGACCACTTCAAAGTGTACATTACTTTTCGATCAAGGTAGACGATGGGAAGAGTTCATTTTCCTATTGATTTGATCTTATGGTTGCTGAACGACTTGAGAATCCTGTTAGAATTCTCTAGTTTGCATCCTCGAAAGTTTCTAATTGAGCAGATGTGCGTATGTTAGTCTGTGCTCCAGTGTCATATTGATTTCACTAGACTTTATATGGAGCGTAGCATAGTCAGTGATGGATTGTTGACTTATGGGTCACCTGAGGTTCATGTAACAACTTTCCAACAATAAATTTTGTTTGTATTCTAAACCAAATACCAAGAAATTCAAAATTTGAAAGATGTGCTATTGTTCATCATAACTATATACTTATTTGCATATGTATTTGTATAAAAATGTATTTGTATTGCTTAGTTTGATTACATAATACCCAGAGGCAGACCAGAGGAACAAAGAAAAAATGCATTTCCACTATAAAATCAATAGTTTCCCAACCCACACGGACCACTGACCCTGGGGCAACATATTTCACAATCTTGGAAAAGCCTCCTTTTTCTTGACTTTTCTGAGGTCGTGTAATGCTGGTTTAGTATATCTTGTGATGCTGGAAGAGTGTTTCTAGGTCTTTTTCCATTAATAGTTGAGCTAGTGACAGATATATGTTTTCTAGAGGAAACTCTAACAGAGCAAACTGCTTGTCGTCACACTTTTTTCCCATAGGCTTTTTATAGCTTGTGCTGCTACTTCAGCTTCGCCATTCGAGCTTTGGAAATAGGGGCTGGTTCTTTCATGTAAATTGTTCAGTTCCACGCACTTTGCAGAACTTTCCCTGGAAGTCCATGACATGCGAAAACAGTTTTCATGGTTTCTATTATTGCTGTAGTTGTCTCAACTGCATATTGGAGTCTACAGATCATGGTCAGCTTCATATATCAATCCAAATGCACCTGCAGTATCACCACTGAAAATATTCTCTTAATCTTAGTCGACCACTTCAAAGTGAACATTAGTTTTCGAACAAGGTAGACAATGGGAAGAGTTCCTTTTTCTATTGATTTGATCTTATGGTTGCTGAATGACTTGAGAGTCCTGTTAGAATTCTCTAGTTTGCATCCTCGAAAGTTTCTAATTGAGCAGATGTGATTATGTTAGTCCGTGCTCCGGTGACTATCATGCAGCGAACCTGCTGATTTTTGACACTATTATGAACGCCCCAGTTGTCATCCCGACCGAACTTGACAATAGTACACATACTAATAGTAAGAAGTTCTTCCTCTGACCCTGACCTGTTTCAGCCTCCGCCGACACACTTTCTTCCAGTGGTATGCTGTTTACAGTAACTGCAAACGGTTCCTAATGCTGGGCACAGATTGCAACTTGAACAATTTGGATTGTCAGTTGGTTAAAAAGTTATTGGTTTTCTAGTCTTAACACTTTTGTTACACGATGCATGGTTGTTGGTGGGGTGTTTTTTTTTTGTGAATCCTCTCCTATCATCAATTTCACTTGTGCTTGCGACAGTTCAAACTGCTCTCCGATTTCTATAGCTTACTTGATCGGATTTCCTAACCTTATTCTAACAATCTTTCTTACACTTTCTTAAGCTTTACGCCACTAATGATCAAGTCAACCAAGACATCATCATTATCCGCGTAATCACAGTCCATAGCTATGATCTGAAGATCCTTCACAAAGTTTCGACCTCTTTTTTGTTTTCTTTGATGCAGCCTGAATCTTGCATCTTTATAGCATCGTATTTCTGTATGTAAAAACTAAAATGTCATAAGGTTCGCAACTGGCCATCTCAAATGTAAAGAAATATTATGGAACGCCGTCACTGCCTTATAGCAGAACACTACTATTGCATTGTGTCAACCTTCGATTACATTATGTCAACTCTTTATGACATTAACCCACCCTACTATTGCATTGTGCCAACCTTCCATTACATTATGTCAACTCTTTATGACATTAACCCACACTACTTTTGCATTGTGTCAACCTTCCATTACATTATGTCAACTCTTTGTGACATTAACCCACCCTACTATTGCATTGTGCCAACCTTCCATTACATTATGTCAACTCTTTATGACATTATCCCACACTACTATTGCATCGTGTTAACTTTCCTTTACATTATATCAACTCTTTATGACATTTACACATACTACAATTTTATTTCGTCAACATGCATTTCGTTATGTTTACTTTTCATGACAATCTTAGTTTTTATTAACTGGTGTGAAAAGCTCATGCCATACTGTGCGCACTCTTCTACATTATGTCGATTCACTATTACGTTATGCGAACGCGGGTATCCTCGGCCTTTATATGAGCATAACATATTTTCCGCGTTCCGCAAGCACTAAAATGGCGGGAGAGAAAACTGTCGTAGAAGAGATTCTCAGCGATTTCGGAATGACATCTTTAAATGAAAACTTTAAGCGACAAATGATTGACAATCTTGAAACATGCAAAGCCTTAACACTGCGACTGTGAATTAAAGTCACGTCGAAATTCAATGGTGTTTACTTTAATCTGATAATTGAATAAATCAAATATTATGAGTAGTGCAGCAATCATTTTTTTCTTTTTATTTTGAATTTTTTTTTCTTTTATTATAAAAGTCTTAAACTTTGTAGGACATAATGCATTAGTTTCACATTAAGTTTAGCTGAATTAAGTTGAAAAGTTTTTTTCTATAAAACTATAAAGCCTGAGAGCTTCTCCGTTTTCCGCCCTTGGTCTCCAACCATATACCGCCCCCCTTCCTTGTTCAAGATTCCCATATCTGCCACTGATATGTGCCCATGCATGCTTACTAAGGCATATTCAATTGATTTAGATGAGCGACTGGTAGATTTTTGTAATAGAATTCTGGCCCTGGAATGATTAAAAAAAATTACTAACTCCAGTGACGTAGCATCATTTTTTTGAAAGAGGAGGTCAGCCAGTAAAAAAAATGATATCCGAAAAAAATAGACAAGCCAAGAAAAAAAATGTCCGAGCCCAAAAATCCTATTTCGGGGAGAGTGGTCCAACTTCAATCAATCCTATTTTCTTCCAGATATATTATATTACCCTTAGTGGACTATATTTCAACAAGAAGTGGGGGGGGGGGGGCTGTACAGTTTCAATGAACATTACATTTTCTATAGTAAAGTTATGTCTGGGAAAAGAGGGGGGTTGATATTATGTGCCTGTAATTTGTCCTAATCAATCACGACCCCCCCCCCTTCTTACCAGTCATTAAAACGCGGTCGTCAACATTTATTATATACTAGATATACAGCTTTGAGATAATGTAAATGTATTTTTGCATCAGGTAATGAACTTGGAATCCACATGATAAAGAGTTAACACAATATAAAGATATTTTTAAATCACATAAGAAAGAGTTGGCATAACGTTATAATATATCCACATCACGGTATGGAGTTTTGACATAATGTAATAAAGTGTTGATATAATATAAAGATATATGTTCACATTATGTTATACACTTTTTACACCACGTAATAAAGCACTGACATAAAGGTAAGATGTGTTCACCTCACATCATGATGCCCTCGCCGTAAAATAAAGATAAATCCATATCACGTAATAATACTTTGATATAATAGAAATATACACTCTCAAAAAGGAATGGGCTTTTGACTTCATGTGATGATAAGTTTAATTATAAAACACAATTTACTTGACGTAATGCAATTTTGACCTCACATATTAAAGAAATGAAATGATGTAAAGAAACATTCATTTCACGTAATAAAGTTTTAACACAATGTAAACACATTATCACTTCACATAATGAATTTTTTACTTCAAGTTATGAAGTGCTGACATAATGAAAGGATGTATTTACTCCATGTAATGCAGCATTGACATGATGTTAAGATATATTTTCATCATCCCATAAAAAATGGACATAACGTAAAGATATGTTCACATCACGTAATGATAAATTGACGTAATAAATGCATAGTTGTATGCTATAAGGCAGTGATGGCGTTCCATAAAATATGATTTTCATTTCGGTTCACACTTGGTTTTATTCAATATGTACGTCCCGGAAATTCTAGAGGACAAGTTTGGCGCGGTTTCTTACCTCTCTAGACTTTCTGCTGCTTTCAGTTTCAGTACTATAGGTATCGCGGATGTTTGTGTTTACTTGATGTTTTATAATGGAAGTGCAAGTTCACGGACTTTTCAAACATCTTTGAGGCTAGATTTAATCTGACACCCGTAGAAAGAGTGTAGATATTGAATGCAATTTGTGTACCGCGTAATCCAGGTAACCGCGGAATTCAAGATGGCGATCGAGTTCATTGCGACTTTGTGTCTTTTGATAAGCAAAAATATGTAGATATATAAAATGCAAATTTAAATTTTATTTTTAGTAGTTTAGCTATTTTTTGAATATATATAAGAGAGTATTTTAACATTATTTCTGAGGCGTGATACTATAATTAAAATACGTAATTGTGATTACCTAGCTGTCGATGGCTTTTCAGGGGGCTCGTTCTCGTTCACCAATTTCAGGGTACAAGTCTAAGTTTAAACACTAATAATTATATTTCTTGATTTTTTAAATATCAAGATAAAATTTATTTAACAAAAAATCTACCTGCTTCTATATACCGGTATATATATATATATATATTAATATATATATATATATATATATATATATATATATATATATATATATATATATATATATATATATATATATATATATATATATATATATATATACCGGTATATAGAAGCAGGTAGATTTATAATTTCATACACAGTCACCTGACGTTCCTTATTTTTCTTTTAATTAAAAAAAATACCCCCTACCTAATTATTATGAGGTAACGGGTATATATTTTTTTAACAAAAGAAAAATAAGTAACGTCAGTCATCAGGTGCCTGTTATATCATGGTTATATTTCATAATCTGTTGTTACACCTCTGTCAACTTACATTTTTTGGAATCAAAATATCGATGTTCGTTTTCTGACATAATTAGAACCTCGAATTTTTTAACTGTATTTTTGGTATCAGAAAATATACAGAAAATAATTTTAATTTGATTAATAAAACATCGTCTCATAATGACCAAAATGCCCTCCCGTTGTTGTTCACCGATTAAAATTTTGTAATAAAAACAGTTTTATGTGGAACCTAATTATGTTTTAAAAACGCAATCACATAACACAACAAAATCATTTCTTACCTAAAGATATCAAAAATATAAATTGTAGACCAATTTCACAACACTTCCTGGACATATTCACTGTTCTTAAAATATTATTTACTCGAAGGAGCGGAGACTGTATACCTACGACGCACTATTGGTGTCATAAATACAAGTTCTCTGTATCATGTTTATAAATGCAGAAGTGGAAAGGATCGCTGTTTCCAATAGATAGATTGGTGTCAATGCAATATAATGCAGCCCATGGGTAAAACGCTCGCCTGAGCTGCTTTGGGCAATGACCCAGCTATATCTACAACAAATGAAAGCTTTCATGTAATTTCGTCTTTTTTTGGCCCATTGGGTTTGAGAATGTATGACCTACCCTATTCTTGCTTCTATTTCTTACGTCCTTTGGATAAGGGTATATATGAAACTTTGGAGAAATTGAATTCTCTTTACCCAAGCATAATATGTGCCATAATTTGTAAAACTGTCAATATGTCCTTGAAAATTTGAAAAAGTGAAAAAACATGTACATGCAGCTAATTAAAGAGAAATGCCAATATTTTATACTGAATACATTTTATAGAGGGTTCTTCGTAAACATACAAGATTTTAGGAACCGAAATCAACTAGATATATCTTAGAAGGCAATTTCTCATCCTGAGTCACTCAAGTGACATGCCGGGGTTTTAATCTATCGTCGTGCGTCGTCAGTTAACATTTTGAAAGAGGCAACATTTTCACATTGCTCGTCAAAATATACACTTAGCTAGCTGCAGAACTGTAGCTCTCCGAAAAACTTACATTGACAGACCGGAGAGCTACAGTGCCACCCATTGAAAAAACTGTATATTTATTGCGCACAAAAAGTGCGCTGTTTCTCGATTTCTTTCTCCATGTTTTTCAAATTGTCATCTCAAAATATTACTAACCGTGTGATCCTAACATATTCTTTCACTATATAGCTCACTCTCTACCATCGGCTCATACATTCACTGTCTGAGAGAGGAACGAACGACAACTCTGCATGGGAGATTGTGTATAGCTCTCCGGTCTGTAAATATATTTTTTCCGGAGAGCTACAGTTCTGCAGCTAACACTTAGCAAGCGTAGTTTGGCTGTTAATACCCGGTAATCAGCAGTATTTAGTAGTGACCTCTCCTCACAGGAACCCCTGGCCCTGAGGCCTTACATTACACAGTTTTGGAAAGGACACCCTTGCTCATGATAAATGTTTGATGAAGAGCAGATTTCAAAGCATTAATTCACTTTCAGTATATAATTACAGTATACCCCCCTCTACGTATGGAAAGCCAACGGGTTCAAAATTCCAACTCTGTAATTCTTAAAATGTACACATGTATAAACATGAATTTGTAAATTGTAAATCTTTATTTCATAATTTGTCAATATTGTTTTTTCACAATTTGTTAGTTGTAACTATCCATGCGTAATTTGACAAGTGTAAAATGTAAATGAAAGTTTTGCCGATGCTCTCGTGTAATTCGTAGACTTACGATTTGTCAACTTGTGAAATGTAAAAATTGTAGATTTGTAAATTATGCAAGGTTGCATTATGCTAACACTTATTAAGACGATAGGGGGCGCTATAAGGGTGGCAGGTTAATTCGTTGCTTAACAATTTAATCATTTCCCCAGTGCGTCCAGCAATGCACGAGACCTGAGGATCATTGACGCGGCTGGCCCAGAATAGACATGAGTGGAGAAAGTTCGTTGCTGCCCTACACATCACAGGGTGTAAAGGACGACGATGACAATGAATGCGTCCCACCAGGCAAAAATATAAAGAAAGGCTGATGAATAAAATAATTTCATGTCTGTCTTTAAGACTGTTTGTAAATAATAATGTAATAACAGATTATACTCTAGTAAAAACTCCCAACAATCCTGAATAATTTTCTAACTTTTTTTAAAAGCCTTTTCTGTAGTGCTACTGGTAGATTCGGCAGAAGGGTGAATGGGGGTTATATAGAGGCCAGGGGCCCCTTTTACAAAAAAAAAACTTAACGACTAAGACCAAAAAATTTAGCTGATTTTTAAATTTTGTAAAATTGATTATCCTGGTTGTAATTGCTAAAATAACAAGAGGCCCAAGGGCCTTGAATCGCTCTTCTGATAAATTGTACAACCTATCACTTGTATTTGAAGCCTCTAACCCTAAGTATCCTAAAACCTAAGTTGCATCAACTGATAAAAAGTTTGATGATTCTAAGCCAATTAGGACTGAAGATATTTTAATAAAGCTATAAAAAAAAACATGAGTAGGTCACGGTGACCTACTTTAAGATTGAAGTTTTCTGAGGACTCAAGATGCATTAATAGACAAACTAAGATTGAAGATTCTAAGCCAAAATGTATTTGAGATATTCAAAAGTAGGTCACCTTGACCTACTTTTTGGTCTACATTCTTGGAAAAACCAAGATGCATCAACTGACAAAGTTTGATGATTCTAAGCCAATAAATACCTGAGATATTCAAAAGTATGTCACCGTGACCTACTTTTTGGTCGACATTCTCTGAAAACCCAAGAGGCATAAACTAACAATGTTTGATGATTCTAAGCCAATAAGTACCAGAAATACATAAATATAGCCATTAAGTGTCAAAAGTAGGTCACCGTGACCTACTTTTTGGTCGACATTCTCCGAAAACCCAAGATGCATCAACTGACAAAGTTTGATGATTCTAAGCCTATAAGTACTGGAGATACATAAATATAGCCATAAAATATTGAAAGTAGGTCACCGTGACCTAATTTTTGGTCGTCACTCTCCGAAAACCCAAGATGCATCAACTCACAAAGTTTGATGATTCTAAGCCAATAAATACCTAAGATACTGAAATATAGCCATAAAATGTCGAAAGTAGGTCACAGTGACCTACATTTTGGTCGACATTTTTCAGAGTCTCAAGATGCATCAGCTGACCAAGTTTGATGATCATTGGTCTGAACGTAATCAAATTATGCCTTTTCAACAATTTGAAAACAAATGCCTGCAAAATTCTTAAAGTAGGTCACAGTGACCTACTTTTACTTAAATATGTTTTGAGGTCCCAAGATGCAGCAACTTACAAGATTTGATGATTCTAACCCTCTCAGTGTCTGAAATAATGGGATGAAATGTTTTAAAAAGGATAAGTCATAAAGTTCAAAAAGTAGGTCACGGTGACCTACTTTTAAGTTGACGTTGTTCAAGGACCAAAGATGCATCAACTGACAAAGTTTGATGATCATAGGCCTTTAAGTGTCCTAAATATGCCTCCAAATCAATATGAAAACAAATGCCCGCAAAATTAAAAAAGTAGGTCACCGTGACCTACTTTTGAGTTAACATGATGTGAAGTCCTAAGATGCATCTACTTACAAGATTTGATGATCCTAGTCCTTATAGTAAGCAAAATATAGACATTTTCATTAATTGTAAATTTTGGTCAACTTTGAAGTGACCTTGAGACCACGCCCTTTGCCCCAGGGTCATGCCTTGAACAATTTTTAATCTTCAACATATCCTGATCATTGTATGTAAGTTTGGTGAAAATCTGCCTGGTGGTTCTGGAGAAGAGGATTTTTTTGCAACCAATACTTTTGGTTTTGTTTTCCTGATTATCTCCCCTTCTTTTAGGGTCCCAACCCTTATTTTAGTATAAATGGTAGCCCTTGGGCCAAGGATACCCTGTGACAAATTTGACACTGATTGGTCAAGGGGTTCTTGAGTTATGGCCCATATTCTAAAAAGTTAACGCACACCGCACACCGCACAAATGGCCATAGCATTAGCTCTTTGAGCCTTTGGCTCAGAAGAGCTAAAAATATCTTGTTGAATTATTTTTAAAAGATAAAAACAATTTTCAAATTAATGTAAAATAAAAAGTTGTAAGTAAAATAAAATTTCAGTCTTAGTCGTAAGTTCTTTTGTAAAATGGGCCCCAGGATCGACCCCCTCGGATTTTCATCAATGACTTTTATACGGTAAAACAATTAAGCAATAACTTTGACCCCCCCCCCCCTTCAGGAGTTGTGAACCTCTCGTAAATAAGTAGAAGAGTCATATAAATATTTGAAACGGCTTATCAACAAGAATTGTCCATTAACCCCCC